CGGCGGCCGAAACGCCTGGGTTCCGCAGCCGCAGGGCTGCGCCTGGACACCGATATCTCCTCAGAGCTCCATGGGCTCCGCCAGCGCGTCGCCTTCCTGGACAAGGAGCTCAGCAAAGCCCAGAAGGTAGCGGGTCCCCCCAGTCAGCATTGTGGGGGTGGGCCCTGGGCCCGGGGCTTGGCTGGTGTCGGGAAGCACCCAGCTCTGGGGTGGGAGCGGCTGAGACAGGCTGAGCACAACAGGGGATCAGGAGAGGTGAGATGCAGCCAGCTCTGGGGTGGGGCTGTCCTGAGCGACTGAGAATGGTAGGGTGAGATGCATCTGGCTCTGGGGTGGGAAGGCTGGAAGCTGCCTGGGTATAACAGGCTAAAATGTGCCCGTCCCTCTCTGGGGTGGGGGTGCCTGAGAACAGCTGAGTAGGACTGGGCACCAGAAGGGTTGAGATGTATCTAGCTCTAGGTTGGAGCAACTAGGAAATAACTGAGCATAACAGGCTGAGATGCAACCAATTCTAGAGGGGGGGGCATGGCTGAGATGCAGCTGGCTCTGGGGTGGAGCTGCTGGAGAACACTGAGCATAACAGGCTGAGATGCACCCCACTCTGGGGTGGTGGTTGGAAGCTGACTGGTTTTCTACATTGTTTTCCAGGCTCTCAGCAAAAGCAAGAAAGCGCAGGTGAGACCTTGGGGTAGGGGTGCTTTTGGGGGTGGAGGAGCTGTGAAGTCCTGAGGTGGGGACAGGTTCTATGCTGGCTTTGACCTGCCCATTAGGCAACAGCACTGGCGTTCCTGTGGGGGGAGGGGGGATAGGGGGTGTCCTGGGCTGGTCTGACCCCTCCACTTCCCCCTCCTTCCCCCCCACTCAGGTGGAGAGGCTAGGGGTGTGTTCCCAAGTCAGCACTGGGGTGGAGCTGGTGGGGAACAGCTGAGTGTAACTGGGGGGGCCCATGGGGCTCCTGAGGGGGGCATTGGGAGATCCAAGCCTGGCTCTGACCCACTGCATGCTCTCCCCGGGAGGTGGAGGGACTTTGGGGGGGAGAGGAAGTGTCCCTGAGAGGTATTGGGGAGGTCCTGGGCAGACTCTGACCCCTATGCCCTTGCAGGAACTGGAGGCTATGGGGCGGGGCAAGGCGGGGGGGTGGGGATCATGGGGAGGT